CCGCGAAGCTGATGAGCCTGGGGCACTGGTACATCACTAGCAGCCCCCGCAGCAGGCGGAGGTTGAAGCCATGCTCGACGGCGCAACTCCACAAGACGTCGTGCCGCAGGTTCTCGTAGAATTTGACGATGTCGAGGAAGAGGCTGGCGGACTCGAACCCGAACTGGCGCGCGAAGGCCGCGTACACGTTGTGCAGCCATCCCGCCTTCTTGCAACCTCGATCAGCTTTACCCCAAAAGAACCGATGGTCGTGCTCCGCCTCCCAGAGCGCGCAAATCGGCTGCCTGAGGCGGCTCCAAAGGCGGAGCAGCAGCGGGATGAGAGCGATCGGGCGGACGCCCCCGTCCGCCTTGGGAATGAACACCATCATGGTCGCGAAGGCCCCCAGCACCTGCGGCCGCTCCTCGAAGGCGGCGAGGATGTCCAGGCACCGCAACTGCAGGGCCACGGGCAGGAGCAGCAGCTGCCTCGGGTGAAGCTGGTCTGCGCCGAGACCTGCCGTCGGCGAGTAGCGCAGGCAGGCCGCCTGCAGCATGTCCAGCGTGATGGGCGGCAGCGTCCAGCCCTGGACGTCCCAGCCGCCAACGCCGCTGCCAGCGGCGAACCCGTCCTGCTGCCAGAGCGCCTGCCAGTTCGCCTCGAGCTGCCCCACCGCCAGCATGCCGGCCAGCGGCCTGCCCGTGGCGGGGTCCACGACCTTCGGGGGCGGCACCGGTTTGGCGAAGCGGTGCGCAAGTTTGCCGCCCTTCTGGACTGCTTCCTTGGCCCAGGCTCGCCACGAAGCAGAGCTCCTGGCTCCATCGCGCCTCCGGGAGCTCGCAAGGCGCTGCTGGAGCACCTCGATGGCCCCTTCATGCCCGTGAACCCCTGCTTGACCGACGAGGTCGTGCCACTCGCTGGTGTCGAAGCTGAGGGCGCCCACCTCGTCCTCCTCGCACGCCGCCGCCGTGGTCTCGCCGAGGAGGGCAGCGAGGCGCTCGGCCTGCCGAATGTACCAGCGCTCGAGGGAGGGCTGCCACCTCTGCGCCCGCTTGGCCACGAGCCGCTGCAGAGCCAAGTCGAGCGCCTGGCGGATCGCATGCGTGAGCGCCGAGTGGCGATGGCGGAACTCTCGCTTCACGACGGCGCTCAGGGGTTTGAGGACCCGCTTGGGCCCCTCCGCTCGGCCGAGGTAGCGCCTGAGGTCCCCAGCCTGAATCTCGTGGATCCCGACGAGCGTGCCCTCGACTGCCTCCGTCCACTCGCGCGCCGCAGCAGGCAGGTCAGGTGGGTCGGAGCCCACTTCCCAGCTCCAGCTGCAGGGCCCAGCCTCCCACTGAGCGCGCCCCACACGATGGTACACCTGGACCTGGGCGTCCTCGCGGGCGCGGCAGTCGGCGGCGTCGACGTCGGGGAAGCGCCCTGGCCGCACCAGCACCTGCACCAGCGCGTCGGGCCTGACGTCCTGCAGCTGCAAGCGGACTGGCTTGTGGGGAAACAGCCCGTAGCCATCCAGCGCTGCCGTCTCCGCAACCCCGCGGGAGAGGCAGAACGAGCTGACGAACCAGTCGTAGACGTGCTCGACGCCCTGCGAGACGCGCGTGGTCGCCGCAGGGCCAAGGTAGGCGCCGCGCTGAACGCTGGGCCAGCCGAGCTCATGCAGGGTGCCGGGCTCCATGTCGAAGTCCCCCTGCGCCAGCCACGGGGGCCCGGTGGAGAGTACCATGTCGCCGAAGGCCGCGAAAATGTCCAGGTTGACGCCCTTGGGCCCGAGGGAGTCCTGCATGTTGAGGGAGCTCGCGAGCAGCTCCAAGCCAGAGGCTGCAGCAACAGTGACCCCGATCATGCGGTGCTTGAGATCCCCCGAACATTGCCACTTCACCTCACTTGCCTGCAGGTCGCTGCGAACCAGGATGCCGACTCCGCCTGAGTGCGCGAGCGGCCCGTCCTTGCCAGTCGGCGCGGCGGCGTGGAGGAAGGCAGCGTAGCCCAAGCCTCTAGCGCGCCCTCGCGCCCCTTGCAGCTGGTGCGGGGCCAGGCGGATCTCCTGCATCGTCACCAGGTGGGGGCGCTCGCCCTCGCGAGAGATGAAGGCCTCGAGGACCTCAAAGCCGCGGCTCCAAGTGTTGCCGTTGATCCCCAGCACTTCCAAGCCGCTGCGCACCCGCGGCCCAGCAGCGGCCGCCTCGCCAGGCTCCAGCGCGGTCGCCCTGCTGCCCCCGATGCGGGCGGCCTGTGCCCCGCCCGGCGGCGGCCCTGCGCCGGCTCCGCCGATCGGCCGGCCGGCGCCGCTGTCGCCGGCGGCACCGCCTGGCTGCGCGCCGGAGCGCCCGGAGGTCGGGCCAGGCCCGCTGGCGCCTGCGGCGCCGGCAGCGCCGGCCCCGAGGGCGCCCAGGGCCTGCACGGGAGTGTGTCCGCAACCGGCAAGTGCGGACACACTCCCGCCCGCGCGGCGGCGGCCCTCCGCGGCAGGGCTAAAGGCCGTGCTGCCCGGGCTGGGGCCCTCCGCTGCCGCTGCCAGCGCCACGCGGCCCGCGTGGAGGCACAAGAGGAGCAAGGTCAGACGCCTCGGCAGCCAGCTCGCGCCTGCAGGCCGCGTCCACGCGCGGCCAGGCGCCCTGCGCGCTGCCTCGGCGCTCGGCCTGGCCTCGCTCGGCGGCGGGCCTCGCCCCCCAGAAGCCGCCGCCGGCCTTCGGCTCGTCGTCCGCGCCGGCGTCTTCGCTGCTGCAGCCGCCGCCGTCGAGCCCATCCATGGGGCAGCTCTCCGCCCAGTCCTCACGCGTGGGCCGCGGAGGAGGGGCCTCCAGCTCCTTGCGGATGGCCGCCATCTGGGCGCTGATCGCCGCCCACGCCGTCTCGAAGTTGTTGGCCTGCCAGGCCGCGTGCAGCTGGTCGAGCTGCGTGAGCAGCCCAGGGACCTGGCTGCCCTCGGCCCACTCGGCGACGCGCAGCCTCTCCTGGGCCTCGGCGTCGCGCCGCACGGTGTCCTCGAGCTCTCGGAGCTGTTGGGCAGCCGCCTCCAGCTCGCCGTCGAGGGTGTCCAGCTCCTCCTGCGCACGCTGGAGCTTGTCCTCGGCGAGGTCGCGGGCCGCGCGCTTCTCCTCCAGGCTCCTGCGCGCCGCCCGCAGCTTCCGCTCCGACCTGTTGAGGGCGTTCGCCTCCCTGTGCAGCTGCGCCGACCTCGGCAGAGCGGAAGCCTTGCGTGCCGCTGCATCCTGCTGCGCCTCGGCGAGCTCGGCGCGCTTGGCCTCCAGCTGGCTGGCCACGACGTCGTTGAAGCAGGTGTCCACCCCGTCGGGCGGGTTCGCTGCGAGCGCCTGGAGCTGCTCCACCGCCGCCTGCAGCCGCTCGATCGCCGTGGAGCCGCCCTGGCTGGAGGCCGCCACGCTGGCGCCCGACGCCTGCGACTTGGCCGAGGCGGCCCTCGTCGCTGCGCCGCGCGCCTGCCGCTGGGCACGGCGCCCCCGAGGCTGGTCCACCCAGCCCTCGCGATCGGCCTGGGGCCCCGCGCCCTCCGCCTGCTGGCCGCCGGCCTTGGGCGCGGGCGCCGCGCGCGCTGCGCCCTTGGCCCAGGGCGGCGCGGCGCTCTGGCACGCCAGGCAGGCGGACCGCCAGTCCCAGTTCCAGGAGCCGCAGCCGCACACCCAGTACATCTTGCTACCGCCGCCGCCGCCGCGCGTCGAGCGGCCTATGGCGCGCGCCGCCGCGGAGGCTGATAGCGAAGCACTCGAAGTCCTTGGCCCAAAGCGAGGAGCCCCTCGCGCTCTGAGCGCCGCGGACGACTCGCGGTCGTCGGGCGCTCCATGGCCTTGAGCCGAAATGGCTACGGATGTCTTTTTCTGTCTCTTCGTTCTCTCTCGAGATCTGTCTCTCTTTATCTCTTTCGCTTTCTGTCTCTTTCTCTTTCTCTCTCCATGATTCCGAAGGGGTACCAAAAAATCAATCGACCTCCCCCCACACACAAAACATCGACAAAACAACACATCCCACGGGAGGGCATTTTTGGGGGGCGACAAATATCTGCCCTCTGTCAAATGTTCAAGTTGTTTGCATTTTTTCTAGGGGGGACATTTTTTCTGGCTCTCTGACGGGTAGGTCCGTCCTCCGAAACATGTTGTTGCACCATGCATTTCGAACGTTCAGAACGCAAAACATTGAACCACAGTGTTTCAGCAGGCAGACGTCCTAACATATTGTGTTTTACCATGTTGTCTGTTGCCAAAGAAAACGCCAGTGCAAATATCAGTGTTTCCGACTGCGAGGCCTCCCAAACATTGTTTAACACAATGTTTTCTAAAACCAGAAACCAGAAGTAGTGTTTTCCCTTTTTCTTCCTCCTACTCTGTGCCAGTCGCAGGTGGAGGCTTGGATGCCACATACCATAGACAGCAATGTTTGAAACAAATAAAACAAATGAAACAATGACTTTCGGACACGTCTTCCCTAGCCGACGCCAATCCCATAACTCCGACCGAAACCATAGTTGGTTTAATATATTGTGTGTGCCTTTTGTTTTGTGGTGTTACTGCTACTCCTACTTGGGGGCTGCTGGAGTGGAAGCCGCCAGAGGCCTCCAGCGCAAAGCTACCAAACATCAAAGTCGCCCAGGCCTGCATTTAACCTGCCGTTCTTCCTCTGTGGTCTGCTTCAGTGAGGGCGCGAGCGAGTAGGACTCCGAAGAAGCAGAGAGAAACCAACCAAAAACCTCTGAAACGCGGGGGCCCGTCGTGCCCCCGAACTTGTCTGTCCTTCCACAGCTTCCCCTGGGAGGTGGAAGCGGTGAACATGTTAGGGGGCCACATGCGAACCCTACCCCTACCCCCCACGACTTCTGAGGGGGGGGGTGGGGTTCACTTCGCTCGGGAGCTCCCGAACGAAGTGAACACCACCCTCCCCTTCAGAAATCGTGGGGGGTAGGGATGTGGCCCCCTACATGTGTTCCCCACGGGAAGACCTCTGGGTCTGGAGGCCCGCTTCCTCGAGCGTCTCCTCCAGGGCCCCCTTGTTGTCACGCCTGGCAGGCGCTCGGCGCCGCGCGCTGGAGGAGTGCTCCGCTGCTGGCCGTTGCCGCGGGCGGGGTGGTATCGGCGGCGCTGCTGCGGCAGCGGCCGGCCGCGCTCGAGCTGGCGGACTTTGTGGGCGGGCTGGATGCGCAGCTGCCCGAGCTGCAGGACCTCAGAGGAGGAGTGGATGCCTGGGTGCAGAAGCCATGCGGCCGGCACGGCGCGTCGGCAGACGGGTTCTTCGTCATGCATCTCGTCATGGGAACTCCCAGAGGAGGAGGAGGAGGAGGAGGAGGAGGAGGAGGAGGAGGAGGAGGAGGAAGAAGAGGAGGTTGAGAAGGAGGAGAAGGAGGAGGAGGTGGAGGGGATAAGAGGAGGAAGAGTTACTGTCAAGCCGCATAAGAACAATGGGCAACCTTCTCAAGGGTATCCCTGCATCCTTGCCGCTTCGGTCCATCCTTAGCGACTGTCGCTGGCCGCGCCCCGCTCGCAAAGTGTCGACATTGCCTTCCAAGGCCCTTGCATCCTTACCGTGCCTCCTTGTGATACGGGTTGCCTGTACCGATGCCACCAGCCTTCCTCGTTTTAGTCTTTTTGGGGCTTGCTGGGTGGCTCGCGTCGCCACCGCTGGATGCGCCTCGACGTTTTGGTCAGAGCGAGACCCAGGAGAGGGCTGGGCAGTAGCGGCGTGGGTTCTGCTCTGGTTTCCCCCGAAGACGCTGATATCACGTTGCTCGTGCTGGAAGGCCCTTGCCGCCACCGTCGAATTGTCCAATGCTCTGCCAAGTTCTGCTCAGAACGCACCCTGGGAGCGAGCGGTCCGGAGAGCAGGGCTTCGTGGCATGGCCGGGGGATGGGGCGCGGCGGGGCCCGACGGCGAACCAGAAGTTCGCGCGAGTCGGAAAGCGCTTGCCCGCCGTTTCGCCCCGGCGTTGGCTGAAGATCGGGCTGGACGAAAGGGGGGGATTGGGAAAGGGGGGAGGAGGAGGAGGAGGAGGAGGAGGAGGAGGAGGAGGAGGAGGAGGAGGAGGAGGAGGAGGGGAAGGCGGACGAGGAGGAGGAGGAGGAGGAGGAGGAGCACGAGGGGGAAGAGGAGGGCGCCGAGAGGGGGGGACTGGGAAAGGGGGGGGTACGAAATTTGCTGCATGCAGCTGGTTTCGGTCCCACCGAGGGGCCCATTCCTCGATACATAGCCGCCTCCGGCGCCGGGAGGCGCCGGAAAAATCAGCTACGTGAGCTGATTCTCAAACACCCCCTTTGCTATCCCCCCCTTTCGCCCGACCCGAGAAGAGGCGGCAGATGGGGGTGGGCGGGGGGAGGGAAATGCCATGCGAGTAAGATTGCCTGTGTCTAGAGCCGGAGACCTTGCAACGTGCGGTATGGGTGCGTCGTCCCAGCCAGGGCGACGCGCGCGCTCAAGCACCTCATGGCACACGCTCCGCGAAGGGCATGTTCTGGCATCTCCAATAGGGGGCCACATGCGATCCCGATCCCTACCCCCACGACTTCTGAGGGGGAGGGTGGGGTTCACTTCGCTCGGGAGCTCCCGAACGAAGCGAACCCCACCCTCCCCCTCACAAATCGTGGGGGGTAGGGGTAGGGTTCGCATGTGGCCCCCTATCCAATTGAAGCACATACTGCTAGCACGTCCTTCAGCGTCATATGCAGCGCCCTCCTCGTCCTCCCGACCAAGCGGACCCCCTGCGGCAACATCGCAACACAGCACGACTGGAAGGGCCCGAGTTGTCCGCTGCATGTTTCGAGCTTGAGCGATTTGTGGCGGTCCAAGGGCCCGGAATCGGGCAAGATCGCCGAGTTCGGGAGCCTCGAGACGGGGGTCAATGCAAATGGGGGTCAGCCAGAGCGCCCGATCTTGCAGGATCCTGCAGGGCCAGGGTCGCATTGACCCGGGCAGGATCATTCGCATTGACCCGGGTTTGGGTGCAGGATCTTGCAGGAGCTTGCAGGATCCTGCAGGCCTGACTGACCCGGGTCTGGATTGACCCAGGTCAGGAGATCCCCGACGAGTGAGGAAAAGTTGCAACGCCCACATCTCAGGGCACTTGAATCAGTGCGCGGATGCTAAGGTGGGATATACCTGGTCGGGAATAACTTCTAAGTGGGTAATGAATGCCCCAAGCGGCAAAAGGGGGTGTTAGATCACTCAGCTAAGTTGGCGGACCCCACTTGGCCCGGATCGCTAACCCCCTAGGCCGATTCGGAAATGCGCAGCCCATTTACAAGTTAGGTTGGGCCGATTCAAACCTTGGCATCAAATTAACCCCCCCTTTATCCCCTTGGCAACCCTCGAGCCGATCTGAGAGGCCATAGCCCAGGGGAGTCAGAAGGCAGCACGACGCATCGAGCCCAAATACGGGTTTGCAGTGGCCTTGGCATCGCTCGGACGTGTTGTTTTATTGTTCGTCGGGACATGCACAGGGAATGGACGTCCGAGCGATGGCGAGCGTCAGCTCGAATGCCCTGGAGCCTGGATGCTTGACTGGAGCACGCGCATTCTGCTCCGAGGCCAGGGCGTACCCTGCGCTGGCTCCCCGCAGCTCTGTGCTGCGCGGCGACGGAGAAATCCGCGGACGGCTCGTGCAAAGCGTACCGCGTTGGCGCCTCCCGAGGCGTCGTCGATCCTCGGTCCAGGACTGGTGCGGCGCATCGTTTCTCGGCCTCCTCAGAGCCAACGCACTATGCACCGTACCGCGTTGAGGCGGGGCCTGGAGGGAGTCCAAGCACAGTACTGTATACACGTGAGCCGCTTTCGCCAGAGTGAGAGGAGAAGGGAACCAGAAGCGAGCAGACGACGGCGAATGCGCAGGCGGGAGGCCAGGGCCGGCGAGACGAAGCAGGCAGGACGTTCGGTAGCAAATTTGCGCATGTCCGCGTAACCCCTGCCTCCGCCCCCTCAAGCTTGGACGCCCGACATGGGTACCGAAAAAATGGGTACGATGCCCAACAACAAATGTTGTCCCAAACCCACAGCGGCCGCTGCTGGGCAAGCGGCCTCCTGTCTCAAATGTACACAGGCCACGGCGACACCGAAAGCGAGTCCTGTTCAAAATGAACAGGAACCGCTGTTGGGCATCCCATTCTTTCCGTACACATTTCGGGCGTCCAAATCAAGAGGACATCCTGCGGCAGAGGCTCCCGGCGACCGTCGGCGACTGCGGGGCGGCCAGCTCCTCGGGCGCCGTGCCGCCCTGCGCGGCGATGGAGCTGTACAACGGCTCGGCGGGCGGGCTGCCCATGCGGGTCTCCGCGGGCCTCGGCGCGCCGAGTGGGGAAAATGGGGGCCCGGAGCTCCGGCGTGCGGCCGAGCCGTGCATCTGTCCGCATCCATCGGGGGCGGCAAAGAGGGGGGTGATGACTAGGGGGGGGGTGGATATCATGGCGGGGGCCATGATATTTTCCCAGATTTCATGGCGCCTCTTCTTGCTTCATTACGTCCCTGGCCCCCCCGCTGGGCCGCGCACATGCCGCCGGTCATGATTTTCACCCCCCCCTTTGAGACGCCTCCTTTTTTGCCGCTCCCGACTTGCATCTGTCCGCATCCACGGCGCCGTGGGCTTTCGTGGAGGGGGCGCCGGAAGGCGGAGGCGCAGTGGGCACGGAGAAGCCGAGGGGCCGTTGGGGGGTCCAGACTATCATCCATGTGCGTTGCACCTCGGGTGTCCGGAGAAGGGGGCCCGGCACGCCAAGTTGTAAATTGACTTAAGTCGGGCACGCCCCCCCTCTACACCCTCTACAACGGGAGTAGTCAAAAATGGTCAAACAGTAGTCTGGGGACGATTTTGTAGTATTTTTGAATATTTTGGGGTATTTTTCATTGTTCGTCCAAAATCCGCCTGTTGGGGGACACGCCCGTCCTAAACATTGATGCGCACATGGCCCGCACAGCGTCTGAACCGCAGGAGTCCAGGCGGAGGTCTTCCAGTGTCCTCGGTCTCGGGGGGTCCTCTCGCTGGGCCCGCGATGTATGGGCGGTGCGACGCGATCCTCCGACTCAATCTATTCGTACTCCAATCAGGATTCAGTCGGGCCAGCCCCCCTACAGGAGGAGTATGCAAAACAGTCAAAAAATAGTGCGGGGATGACTTGAAATCTGCCTGTGGGGGCACACGCCCGACCTAAAATGAGGTGGCCGTCGTTACCCAGGCCACCCACCACCCCACCCCACCGAGGCAACGGTAACGATCGTACGTGGGAAGGGGCTTGCCCCCTCCCCCCCTCCCGCATGCTGGTGTCAGCGGGCGGGCGCGCGCAGTGCGGCGATCCCAGCGCGCCCATGCCCCACCCAACTCGGGCGCCTCCGCTACCTGGGCCCCCCCTCCCAGGTAACGACCGTTAGCGGACATCATATGACCCATCTCTGGCGGAAGCGTCCCAGACTTCCGACGTCTTGACAAAGTTCAAGACGGAGGTTTTTTTTTTTTTTTTTTTTGAGTTTTCGACATCTGGGAGCCTTCGCTGGCCCAGGGGTCGTCAAAGGCGACTCGGGGCGCAGAACTTGTCGCGGGAGACGGGTCGAGGCGTCCAGGGACCCCGTCGTTGGAGACATCAGCACGTAGATCTGTGGGAGGCTACACGCCGATCGTTGAAAGTAGGTATTTTTGGATTCCCTGATCCCAATCTATTTCAAGCGCCTTCCTACTTCAAGAATCGACACGCTTTCGCCGTGTTTTGTTATTCTCTGGGGGGGCCTGGACCCAATCCACTTTATCCGCATTCCTACTTCATGTGTTCACCTACTTCTTCCGACCGACGTGTATTTTTCTTATCCTGTGGCGCATGAGGGTCGTTACCTGACCCTTCTCCCCTGGGTGGCTGTAACGATCGTACGACGTTGTACGCGGGGGGGGGGCTATGGGCATCCCACATCTTGGTGCTCACGCGCACACTTTCGCGATCGCAGCGCACCCTCGCCCCGACATGCTCCAGCCCGCCCAAGCGTTACAGTTGCCGGATATTATGAAGAGCAGTCTCGGGGGGAAGTGGCCCAAGCCTCCAGTGTCTTGTTCAAGAAGCGCAGTGCGGAGGTTTTTCGTAGTCTTCGGTCTCGGGGGGCCCGCGTCGGGCCCAGGGACAGTCAAAAGACGACTCTGGATGCACGGTCCCCGCGAAGGGGTCGAGGCTTCCGGGGACCACGTGCTGAACAAATCGAGGCGCCGGATCTCTCCGTGGGAGAGGGGGCGGGCTCTCTCAGGGGCCAGCGGGGCCTGTCAGGCGGCCGGAGGCTCCCAGAGCCTTCGGAGATGCCCGCTCCCGTTGCCTGCAGCCCGCCCCCCTGTTACCAGCCTGTAACATATCCCTATCCCTATGCTGGGCATCTCCTCATCACGATGCCAATCTTAGGGATTCCCTTATTTTTCCCCCACATCCTAAGTGGGGTTCTTGTTTTCTCTGCACACCCTCCGCGCAGGATCTCTCCTCCTTCTCCTCCCTCTCCTCTGCTCCTCTTTGCTTCCTCCTCCGCATCATCATCACCATCACCATCACTCCCCACTCATCATCATCATCACCATCAGCATCACCATCACCATCCCACGATCACTCACCATCATCGGCATCGAACGATCATCATCATCATCATCATCATCATCATCATCATCATCATCATCATCATCATCATCATCATCATCATCTCCGTAGCCATTTTGGCTCAAGCCTTTTTGGCTCAAGGTCGAAACGTTTCCCTGGCGCTTCGACCTTGGTCGCAGCCGACGGGGAGCTCGAGCTGCTTTGGGAGGCACAGGGCCTTCCCGATTGCTTCCTAAGACTCCCGACCAGGGACCCTTCAGTGGGTGGGAGTCATCTCTCTAGCCAAATTTGGCAGCTGCGGCAGGGTGTGCGCGGTGGAGGTGCTTTTATTAGCCCTGTCAGATCCAACTTCTAGTAGGTGATCTGGCAGCCGCGATGGCCGCCACTCTCTCCATGGACCAGAAAATGGATCAGTTGTTGGCGTCGATGTCCACCGTCGTAGCCACCGTCAACGCTCACGACGCAAAGTTCGCCAGCCTCGCCAAAGACATGGAGAGCATGAAAACCGACATGCGCAAGGAGGTGGACACCAAGTTCGAGCTCATGCAGAACCAGATCACCGCCCTGCAGCAGCGCAACGTCCACAACACAGGCGGCGAGGCCTCTGACGACATGGTCGACACGTGCCTCACGGTCTCTCTGCTTAGCGCTCAGACAGACCAGAAGATCAGCGTCATCAATGCCGCATTGGAGGAGCTGAAGACCTCAGTTGCTTCGATATCTCGTCCACCATCCACGGCATCTGGCGGTGCCAGCACTTGGGGGACCGCAACCACACCCCGTGGTGAGACCGCCGCGCCTGCTGACAGGCGCAAGCTCTGGGTGCGAGGGTTTCCTGTCAAATTGATGGCCTCCGCTTTCGACAAGCACTTCGAATTCCTGAAGACCCTTCTCTCGCCCACCTACCGCGACAGGTGCACCGCTATCACCAAGAGCTGCAAGTACGCCTACGTCATCATTTTTGAGAACGCCGACGACGCCAAGAATGCATTGTTGCAGATGCGTGCCATGACACTAGAATGGGGAGATGGCAGTGGCTTTCGGCATCGTCTTCGAGTTGGCACTGACGAGCCCATCGATGTCCGCAAGAAGGGCTGGGTGCTGGGCCAGGTCTGGCAACATATCAAGCAAGTCATGGTTGATGCTGGCACTTGGCGACCTGACTCGCAGCTACGCTGCAACAAGTACATGGGCCTCTGCTTCCTGGTCAACGGCGACCTCGTGGACGAGCTCGTCGTGCTGCAGAACGTCCTCGAGACCGACAACCCGAACGTCGAGCCCAACCGGGGCAACCTGAAGCGCTACGGCTTCACCGACGAGCAAGTCGACAAGCTGCCCGAGCTGGTCACTGCTGCGCTTCGCCGCGAATAGGGGCGGAGTGAGCCAGTACCTGTGAGCGACAGCGATGATGAATTCGATCCTGAACGATTGCGAGCCCTTCTGCGAGAACGGGGGGAGGCCACCTCGATTCTGCCCGACTCTCCTCTTCCCGAGAATGCGCCAGCTATTCGTGATCCTTACCTTCCTGTTCCACTTTCCCCTGGGGGAGGTGATGCTGCTCCTGCTGAGCAGCGGCATCCATTTGTCATCTCTCGCACTGTGGGTCTTGCTTCATGGAATACTCGTGCATTTTTTGGCAGTGTGTATGGCGATCCACAGAGACAGCATCGGAAACAGCAGATTTTCAGAAGTCTTGTACACCGCTTTCAAGTAGTATTTTTGCAGGAAACCCACGGGACCCAAGAAGATCTTTCCTCGCTGGATCGTGACGTGCCAGCTCACACGCACTTTGGCTCGTTTTGCTCTTCTGCGGTGGCGGGAGGCGTTACCATGTCTATTGATCCTTCCCTACTCCAGCTCTTTCAGGACATCCACGTTGAAAACATTATCGATGGACGATGCATTGCAGTTACGTTAACAGGCGAGAAAGGCACGTTGCAATTGATTAACTTTCACCTCGACCCCACCCTCTCCGACGTTGAGAAGGATCGTGTGATCCGCACTGTTGCTGCTCACGCTCTGCCTGCTGATCAGGCCACTGTCATCTTGGGAGGCGATTTTAACTTCTTGGAGGAGGGGGGGATGAGGACGTTCACAGACGGAAGGGAACCCACCCCTGAGAGGACTGCTGTTCTGCATATGTTTGCTCGGGTTTTCGGACACCTCGCTGAAGTTGCCCAACAAGAGCCCACTCATCGGTCTGGGAGGAGGGAGGACGGTGCGCTTAGCCTTGGACGCTTGGACAGGTTCTACATATCTTCTGCCACCACCGACATTCTAGATGCGACTCCACGGAGCGGAGTCATAGGTCTTGCTCATGATGTCGCCCAGCCGAGCGACCATATTCCTGTCTGGCTTCAGTTTTCGCCTGGCGGCAAAACAACCCCGACGATCCCCTCCTGGATTGCCAAACATCCTGATTTTGGTACTGAGGTTGAGGCTGCCATTGGTTCCGTTGAAATGCCCAGGGGCCCGTTCGAATACCTCCTGTCCGTCAAAGACGCGATGTATGTTGCCAAGGATGCTTTGATGACTCGCATGTTCTTCCGAGGCCCCCACAACGACGCGCAGAAGTTATCGGTCTACCTTAAGTTTCTTCGGGCTGTTCGGGGTGGCAAGTCTTGGGACATTCGGAGGTGTATCCAGGCTATTCCTTATCTTAGTCTACATGTTCATGCTGATGAATGTTGTTTTAGAGATTCGGTGTCATTTTATCGTGAAATGGCCGAGCTTCAGCACTCTCTTCTCCAGCGAGAAATTCGCGAACACGTCGAAGGCGGCGGGGCCCCCGACGACGATCGAGGCCTCAGGTTGCACCAGCTTCTGCGACAGTGGTCTCCCAAAAGGCGCCGTATTGTTCTGGTTTCCGTCCCCGACCCCACCGGGTGCCCTTCGCCTGACCTGGAGGTCAGTGCTCAGAATCTTGCGTCGCACTGGGGGCGGGTCCATGCCGCGAAGCCTCAGGACAGGGGATACCACTTCCAGAAGACACTGTTGAGCAGTGAGATTCAGCAGGTTGCCCCAGGTATCGAGTGGACGCTCGACCTGCATAGCTTCATAGGCAAGCTCGTCGGCCGCAAGGACAGCGCGACTGGCCCCGACGGCATCCCATACAGTGCATGGCGGTTCGCTGGCGACGCCGCTCACAATGCCTTGTATCAAGTTTATCTCGCTATTTTGGACAATCCTACATATGGGCCCCCACATAAAGGCTTCAACGAGTCCCTCACGGTGTACCTCCCAAAGGCCATCCACCCGCACGAAGCTGGAACCTCTGAGATCTCTCGGGAAGCGTCTGTGGTTCGCCCTATTGCCCTCAGCAATACTGATAACAAAATAGTATCCTTGGCCATATGCGAACCATTTAGCCAGCAATGCCAGTACAGCGTCCTAGGCTCCCAGACGGGCTTCGTGCGCAAGAGGTCTATGCTCGACAACTTGTTCTGCCTTGAGGCAGACATTCTTGAATATGCCTGCTATCGTTGCATGCCGCACGCAGGACTGCTCCTCTTGGATTTCCGCGCCGCGTTCCCGTCGCTGCGCCACGACTGGATCATAGATGTGTTAATCATGATGAATATTCCCATGTATATCGTGAATGCCATTCGGTTCCTATACACAGGCATCTACACACACATATGCCTAGCAGGCAAAAAGTTTCCAGGCTACTCGATCACCCAAGGCATTAAACAAGGATGTCCACTGTCGGGTGCATTATTTGCATTATGCATCGACCCGCTGCTGCGCCGATTATCTAACTTGCTAGCTCCAGTTTGTGCTTCACCCCGTGCCTTTGCAGATGACATCCAGATCTCGGCATCCAACCTGTTGCTAGCTGTTCCGATTGTGCTGAAGAATGTTATTAGGTCCAGCCGATGTACTGGCCTGCTCTTGAACCTTGCCAAGTGTATGATCGTGCACACGCAAGAGATGCCAGATGACCAGCATTTCGCCTTATTCGAAACTGTTCGCACTAACGTTCGCTCGCTCATGCACGGCACCAGTGGCAAAGTCTTGGGTGTTTTCCTGGGCCCTGGTGGTTACAAGAAATCCTGGTCCGCTCCGCTTCAGAAATATATTTGTCGGGTCCGTCATGTTCGGTCGCTTCGTCTTGGGCTTACTCAGAGTATTTATGCCTACAATTCCCTGGCCTTCTCGGTCCTCACCTTCGTGATGCAGCTATGTTACATATCGCAGGATGCGCTTCGCATGGAAACAAAAGGATTGCAGACTCTCACCGCGTGCCCGTTCTACAGCATTCCTACTGATCTCCTCCGCAATCTCTCGTCGGCGCTTCATTGGCCCATTGCCCCGCGCAACCTCGTGCTGGAGAATCAGGCTGCCATGTATCGGGTCGCTGTTCGATCCAAGGTTTTTGACAGCATTCGGAGGCGATTTCACGAGCTTGAGGAAGATGACTGGGATGTTCTAATGGTCAAGCGGTTCCCGACATGGCGTGCCGAGTCCACTGTTTTCCATCTGATTCATAACTACGAGCGTCTAACAGCCCTGCCGTGGAACCACTTCGATGAGGACACTCACGAGTTGCAGAAACAGATTTTGAAGAAGTTGATTTCTGAGGCCCCCAGTTGCTCCGCGGTTTTTCTCCTGGGCAATCGAATTCGTTTCGCTTTTCCTCTGGTTAATGCCTCTAGTATCGACCTTGCTGTGCTCAGGCTCAGAATTGCCTGCACGCGCGTCGGCCCTTTTGTGGCTGCTGCCATTCTCAAAACCATCTGCAACGCGTGGGCGACCTCTGCCAGGTATAGGCAAGGCCGTCTTACCTGTCGCTTCGGCTGCCGAGCCGCTGGCGGCGACCACGTCCAGCATTATTTCGATTGCCCTCATGTTCTGAGCCTGCTTCCCTCTGTCCTGCCCTCCCTGCCAGCCGAATATTTGAATCAGAGCCTCGATGCGCGTATGCTGTGCACCATGCCATGCCATTCTAGTCAGCAGTTGTTTTCCTTGTTTCTCGTCCACGACCTGCTCTTTTCCACCTTTAACTCCTTGAGGAGCTCGCACAGGTACGGGCCCGAATGCCTGCTGCCTCTCCTGCGCGCCCGCGCCCGGCACATCGCCAAGAAGGGGCGCGTCGTGCGGAGCGTCCTCACCAGGAGGCCCGCTGCAGAAGGCAGCTGAACGGCCCGTCTCTCTGACTCGCCCAGGGGAGTGCGATCATCATCATCATCATCATCATCATCATCATTATCATTATCATCATCATCATCATCATCATCATCATCATCATCATCATCATCATCATCATCACTACTCGCTGACTTGAGGCCTGAATATGGAGGAAGTCTCGAGCGGGAGCCTCGTCTGTGAGTGAATTGCGAGGAAGTCTCAGGCGGGGGCCCCCTCCCTATGGGGCCCGCACTTCATGTTTGAATCCGAGCGGGTCATCCGCAACGTGCAACTGTCGTCACTTTGGGGCTCTTGAGACTTGAATATGGAGGAAGTCTCGAGCGGGAGCCTCGTCTGTGAGTGAATTGTGAGGAAGTCTCAGGCGGGAGCCCCCTCCCTATGGGGCCCGCACTTCATGTTTGAATCCGAGCGGGTCATCCGCAACGTGCAACTGTCGTCACTTTGGGGCTCTTGAGACTTGAATATGGAGGAAGTCTCGAGCGGGAGCCTCGTCTGTGAGTGAATTGCGAGGAAGTCTCAGGCGGGAGCCCCCTCCCTGTGGGGCCCGCACTTCATGTTCGAATCCGAGCGGGTCATCCGCAACGTGCAACTGTCGTCACTTTTGGGCTCTTGAGACTTGAATATGGAGGAAGTCTCGAGCGGGAGCCTCGTCTGTGAGTGAATTGTGAGGAAGTCTCAGGCGGGAGCCCCCTCCCTATGGGGCCCGCACTTCATGTTCGAATCCGAGCGGGTCATCCGCAACGTGCAACTGTCGTCACTTTTGGGCTCTTGAGATACGAATATGGAGGAAGTCTCGAGCGGGAGCCTCGTCTGTGAGTGAATTGTGAGGAAGTCTCAGGCGGGAGCCCCAGGAGGAAGAGGAAAGGGCAAAGGGTAAGCTAAACATATTCTCATGTGGGGTCCTTTCGTCGGAGTAATTGAGGGCGAATCCCTAAGGTTGTCATCGCCTTTTGGCGTGTCAATCTTAGGGATAGGGATACGTTCGAGGCTGGTAACCCTGGGCGCGAGGCCAACGCGAGTGGCGAGCATGTCCACATCCGCGCCCTCGTGGTCTTTCGATCTCATGCGCGATCCTGTGGACACGCGGTCGCGTGGAGACCTTCTGAGCGGGGCGTCCGCGAGGCAGCGCCCCGTATCCACGGTGGGCGCGGCCCAGGGTCCCCGCTCGCGAGGCCGTGGACATCAACCAGGAGGGGAAAAACCGCACAGACACAATTAACCGTCGATTAGAAGAAAATATAGGAAAATATTGGAAGTGGGGGGGAAGACAAAAACCCAGAAAATATAAGAAAAAATGAGGAATCATTGTATTAGTGTGTATTTATTTGTGTGTCCCAGGGCGCCTTCAATCAACATTATGTTTAAACGGAAGGGTGGTCCTGGAGGTCTTGTGCGAGGTCTTGCGCGGGATGTCTCGTGTGGGCTCTTGTGTTGGGCTCTGGGCGTCCTCTCGCGTTCTCTGGCTTCGTTCTCTTGCACACGTCGTCGTGTGCGCGTCTTGCCCAAGAGGTCTGCTGGGTGAACAACTTCCAAACGATCCGGCTTGGCGCCCTGGAGCTCCGCAGGCCCGTCCCCGTGGAAGCGACCGCCGCGGCCGCTGCCGCGGGGCGAGACGTGTCGGTGCAGGGCGAGGGCGTCCGGGTGGCCCTCCTCACCACGGGCAGCATCGGGTCCCTGAACATCAGCCTGTACATGTCGAAGAAGACAAAGTGCCATAAACATAACTCCAGGTCTCTCAATAAGCGTGGGGGGGGTGGATCGCTTGGGGGGGGGGGGGAACCGCTGTCCTTCGGGGGGCGTGGGGAGGTTGGGGAACAAGAGGGGGTGGGTCTGGGGCGCGTGGGGGGGCGGGCAAGGGGCGTCGGACAGGTTGGCCCAGGGGGGTGCTTGTTGAAGGACGTGGAGAAAGTCTTGGCGCTCCGCGCGGATTTCTTGGATCCGCGCTGGATCCCCCTGGCGGCGCTGGAGGCGCCTCTCATGGCGCGCGCTCCGCGCGCCAGGGAGGGGGCTGCAGCGCGGATCCAAGACATCCGCACGGTCCGTCGAACGTTTCCGCTTGTGCCGTTCTTTTGCTTCCTCCCACCAGGGGCGACGAGCACCTCGCCTGGAGCTGGCAGGATGTCCTGGCGGCGCGCAGCCGGGGGGGCAGCGGCACGAACGCAGGGGCGCCCCTCCGAGGAGGGCGTCCCGCCCCATTGGACGGGGGCCCTGGGCGTATTCAGGTAGTGGCGAAGCGTCCTGGCTCGCCTATAGCCCTGCCAAACAATATTCTAAGATCCTTTTGTGGTTCCCGCGAAATTGTCTTAGAACATTTCTGGCGGAGTCTGTCTTGTTTGAAGCATCGGGTTTTGATGATTCTAAGAACATTGTAATGTTCTTCGAACTTTTTGGGGTTCTAAGAACATTTCGTGGTAGGACTATAGGAATGCCGGGACGGTCGGTCCCTGCTCAACGTGTGGCCCGTGGGGGTTAAGCCGGGCCCTTCCAAGGAGCCGCCTGTGCCTCGAAGAAGGCCCCGACCCCCCTTGGCGGGCCCAGGATCCCAAGGCGAGCCCCCGAACGACGAGCATGGCGAAGATTGTGCAAGCGCACCGTTGAGGAGAGACGGATAGAGAGAGAGAGGGAGAGGGAGGGAGAGAGGGAGAGAGGAAGAGGGGGAGAGAGGGAAAGAGAGAGAGAGAGTGAAGAGAGAGAGAGAGAGAGAGAGTAGGAGGCGGGAGCCCTAGCCCCCTTGCGCTCGCCGCCACCTGTGGATTGGCTGTTTCGCCTGGACGCGGGTTGCCACACGGGCATGCCCTTCTTCCGCGACGTGGGCGCCTCGATGGGCATCCCGCTGCGCCGCCCGCGCTCATCCGCCACCCAGCTGTCTGTGGCCATCGTGTAGCTTCTCCTCTGCCTCCTCCTTCTTCTCCTCCTCGTGGCAGAGAGCAGCCTGGCCGGAGTTGCAGCATGGTTCAATAGGTTTTCGCAGAAGCCTCAGAAGCCTGGTTGCAGCCTCCAGCGTTGTCTCACACTGTTCGCTTGGCAGTGGCGCGCCCTTCTTGGAGACTGATGGCTGCCCAGAGCTAGATCAGACCAGATCCCCTTCCTCCTCCCCCATCAGAGGGGACCAGGAAGCAACATGGGGTACATCAGAAAGAGGACAGCCTGCCAGCAGGTGCCCTAGGTACGGAAATTCCCCATCTCCCGGTGATCGCGGCGACTCGCGGCGGCCCTGAGGCACTCCCGGGAGGTCAAGGACGGGCGGCGATGGCGCCCCCAGATCTCTTGAGATCCGAAGCAGATCTTGTGGTATGCTCGGACGTGCGCCAAGGGTTACTCCGCCAGCGCCTGGCCGCCTCACCTCCCAGACCCTTTCGAGAAGCGGAAAAAACACTACGGGAGGTCGTTCGCTATTTGGGACCTCTCGGGGCCCTTGCCGGGCCTCTGGGCCGTCAGAATATTTAGGATTCAACACCGGTGCAGGCGAATGGGCAGAGACTTGGGGGGGGGGTCTGGAGCGTCGCGCTGATGGAACATCAGTTGCCCAGATTGCATGTTTGAAAGTATTTTGATCTCAGTCCCTGCCCCTCATTCTTCTGGACCTTCCGCCCTAACCTTCCGCCCTTTCTTCGATATGATCTATGTGGGTTCCGTTGAGTTGCGTAAAGCTTTAATGAGTTTCGATGAATGTTTCCGCACCTTCCGCGGAGGCCGGAAGGTATTGAAGGTGGAGGTGGAGGAGTGTGATCGTATACAGTGGAAACCGATGCCAAGAAACACCCTGCTTGCCTCCAGGGTGCCCTCGGCTTCTTGAATGTCAATGGTTATGCTGTGGAAAGCGTGGCGCTCCCGCACCCAAATGCCATGGACGCACTGGGGTCTCAGGGTTGGGTTTCGGGCGGGATGTATTACTGTGGCCGAGCCCCTACTGCACACATGCATTTTGATGGGCTTGTTTTCCACCACCATCACCACCATACTTGGAGGGGGGAAGGAGGTCGAGGAGGAGGAGAAGGAGGAAGAGGAGGTGGAGGACCCCCTCCCCCTCACGCTTGTGGTGGTGGTGGTGGGAAACAAGCCCACCACATCTGAGCACGGGGGGCCGACGACATGGCAGCAGCCACGACGTCGGGGGCCTGGGCCCCGCGCCCCGTGGTCGCCTCGGACGCCCGTGCGCCGCCGAGCGCGGTGCCTCTGCGGGAGGTCCGGCGTCGGCGGGGGGAGGGCCCTTCGAGATGCTCGGGCGGCTGGGTCTGCTGTCGGCCGCCTGCGCCACCTCCTCCCGCCCTCCTCCCTCCGCGCTCCACCCTCGGCCCTCCGCCCCCCCTCCTATGCACACCCTCCCTCGCCCTCCCTGCTGTGTCCCCCCTGTCCCTCCTCGCCCCCGCCTCATCCATCCTCCCTCCCTCCCTCGCTCGCCCACCCTCGAGATGCTCGGGCAGCTGGCTCCGTGTCGTGTCCTCCGCGTCTCTGCTCAGAGGAGGAGGACAGGGCAGGGCATCCGCACAGGGGGGTCAACGTCGACACGCCTACACAGGAGCTGCGGAGCACGACTTGCAGCATCCCCTGCGAGTATAGTATGCCGCAGGCCCAGACTTCTCATGGGGCCGGCAGGGGGCGCACCCCGATGCAACCCGCAGAATAAGCATGGGCAATCTTCCCAGGGGTGCCGATACCGTTGTCCTTCCCTCGCTTTCACCTTTGTTGGCCTCCATTGGAGGACCTCGTCGCCACCAGTGGATTCGCCTCGGAGTCCTGGTCAGAGCGCACTCTGGGAGAGGTCTGGGGAGTGGCGGTATCGGTATGTTTTGAATTTTTCTTTTGGTGTGGTCGGGGGTTGCTCAAGGCGCCCCTGGGCCAAGGTGCCCCCAGTATTTCGCTCAATTTTGGGGCACGTAGGGCCCGCTGGGTCTCGTGCGGGGTGCTGTGGAGGCCGTGGGGGCCTCCTTGGGAATCATGGGTCGCTTTGGGCCAGGAGCACTGTCTAGCAACACCCGGTATGGACGTTGGATCCATGCCCATGCTGCTGCCTCCCCCACTCTGAGCGCCTGGAGGAGCAAGGTACGGATAAGAAGCTCGGCACCTTGGGCAAGATGTCTTGTGCGGGATTGGGGCGTGAGCAGGGGCACGGACAGAGAGTCGATCGCCTATCGTCTCCCCCCCCGTTCTTCCCGTCCCCAGGCTCGTGTTCTCGATGTTGGCGTGGTGCTCTGTGTTCGTACGGGGTCCGTAAGAGGCTCCGACCCGCTCCGCGAGGACAGCTTGTTCGTCTCATCGTTACGCAAACAGTGGCTTGGGGGCGAACGCTGTCATCTTTCATGGAGCCGAACAAGTAAGACAAGTTTGGGCCGAAGCCAATGTCGATCCTTGTCTGAGGATCCTTTTTTCCTGAGAGGCCGAACAAAACTCAACTCCGCCGTCATTACGCTTTACCAAAATGCCAGAAGGTCTGGGTCCGCGTCCTTTTCTTTCCTCCGTCCCCCAACCTTTTCCACATGCACCTCCCATGCCTTCCGACCTCCGCGGAAGGTGTCTAATGATTTGCCGAAACTCATCGTTGTTTCGCAAGTAGTGGGGGCCCGCGTAGATTCTATCGGCGGAAGGTTTGGGTGGAAGCTCTTCAGGAGGAAAAGAAACACACAGACACAATTAATCGTCCATTCCCCAGAAAAAATGGGAAGTGGGGGGGGAATACAAAAACTCAGAAAATATGGGAACATATGGGGAATCGTTTTATTTGTGTGTATTTGTGTGTGCGCGTCCTGGGATCCCTTTAGCTCTGGGAGATTGCGGGGGAGGGACCTCCTTCTTTACGAGGCTGGGGTTTGTTCATGCCCATCGCCTCGGGGGGCCACGCGCGGTGGCCGCTGGACACTCTCGGGCCCCGGAGGCGCCCCCCGGCCATGGCCACGTCCACCCCCGCGTTGGTCCTGGGCCGCGGGGTCTTCGACGCGGCGTGCCTGCAAGCGGCCAAGACGCTGAAAGAAGAACCGTTCCGAAGGGGCTCGCTGCTCCTGGGCCATTCCGCGGCTATTCCTGTAGCCCTCCTCGTGCACCCAGGCCCTGTCGGTACCAAGGCGGGGCCTCGTTCCTTCACAACGTAGCGTTCCTGATTGCAGCAGCTTGGCTGTATTCTCGTCGAACTGTTCACGCTTCGCGTATCCCCACCAGTACCTCTCAGCAGCCGCGGCTGTTAGTTGCACCCCGAGGGCCGTGAGCTGGTCACTGGAATTCTAGACGCTTCGCGTATCCCCACCAGCCCGTCCAGAAACGACGCCCAGGCGAGTAGAGGGTCGTCCTGAGGGGCTTTTCGGCGTCTGGAGTGCCTCGGGGGGGCCTCTGTGGGCCGTTCGGGATCCTCTTTGGGGCCTCCTGGGGGCCTCTTGGGGCCTCTTGGAGCCATCTGAGGGCCTTTGGGGGCCTCTGGGAGCACCTTGGGTGCCTCTGGGGGGTCTCTTGGGGCCTCTTGGGGGTCTCTTGGGGGCCTCCTGGGGTTGGGGGGCCTCTTGGGGCCATCTTGGGGCCATCCTGCGGCCTCTTGGGGCATCCTGGGGGCCTTTTGGAGGACATCGGCCAAGGAAGTGGGGTTCCCTAATTACAGCCCCCGCCCAGGAGCTCCAAAAGTCGCTTCCTGGACCCCTCTTGGATCGCTCTTGGAGCGCTCGTGGCCGCTCTTGGAGCCATCCTGAGGCTCTCTTGGGCCCCTCTTGGAGCTATCTTGAGCCATCTTGGAGCCATCTTGACGCGTCGGATGTGCATCGCAAGCGAAAAAGTGAGAACACCAAAAACATGGATTTTCCATAGGTTTTTGAAGCATTTTGGCCTCTTGGATGCATCCTAATGATGCTCTTGTGGGCACTCGGAACCGTCTTGGGGAGTTCTTGGAGCGTCTTGGAACATCATGGGGACCATCTTGAGGCATCTTGCGCTATCTTGAGCCATCTTGGAGGTCATCTTGAGCTCCCTGAGGCCCTCTTGGAGATGGGTTGGGGAGTCTTGGACGCTCCAACGCGCCGCGGAACCCCCTGTCCAGGTCAGTGGGTAGGGGGTAGGGGGAGGGGTAAACCCCTCCCCGAAGGGGAAGAAGGAGGGGTGGAAGAGGAAACGCTCTAAACCACCGACGCCCAGAGGGCTGGTGGGATTACTGGCGCGGGCACCCACCCCCCTGCGGCTGTCAGCCGCTTCCCTGAAGCTAATCGAGCTCCCGGCGGCTGTCAGCTGCCTTTCTCTGCCGGGCGCCTCCGGACCCTGTGCTCCCCCCGGGGCACGCGGGGCGGTAGTTCCCCTCACCCTTTCGGCCTCGCGCTGGCACTGGAGACTGCCGTGGGTATTGCTATTCGGTCGTCGTTGAGGGCGCTGTCGGGCTTCCACTTCCTCGTGCTGCCGTTTCCCACTCCTGGGGTCTGCAGCCACCTGGTCATTCGGAGGCATCTGCACTCGATGACTGGATCTGTGTTGAGGTCATCCGTCGCCTACTTACGGCAAGTACATGGAGTACCGCAAGATCAGGGTGGTCCCCTACTTGTGCCTCTTCTGGGCTGCGGCTTTTCTTTTCTTCCCTCTCCCTCGGCCCTCTGTCGCCGTTCGTCGCCGTTCCGTCTTCTTCGCTTTCTTCTCTTCGTCTTTCTTCTTCGCTTGTTTTCGCTCTCTCCCGCTTGGCCCCGTCTTCGTTGCTCTTGCGCAGCCGCTGCGTTGTGGCCCTGTACTTGTTCCGTTGCCTTGCACTTGCTCGGTTTCGCTCTTTGCTCGCCCTCACGACGCCGCTCGGGTGCCCGTTCGCGGTCGCGATCAGAAAGTATCCCCGCCAGTCCCCCATAGCGCGTCGGCCTCTCACGGCTCCTCCCCAGCCG